GCATTAATCTGACACAAACTATAGGCAATGTTACTTTTGTGTTCGTAGATTTACAGTTTGAGATGCCCATTGTGGAATAAATTTATAGTCTAATCCATGTAAGAAATTACCAGTTTATGACAAGGAGCACTTTAATTATTTATTCTATCATTCACAGTCGCAGTAAGGAGAAATTATGAAAGTCAAAGAATTAAGGAACGTGAAAATGGTAACATTCAAATAAAAAACAAAAATTCAAAGAGGAGAAAGTCTAACTCATCACGCTGTCATATAAGTATATTTCATATGTAGAATATAGTAATAGTTATCTATCATTTTATCGCTAACACATTATTTAAACCTCAAATGTCAGGTTAATATTTGTTTATTGTTAATTAAATTTTGCTGTTTCACATTAAAGTCAAAATAAGCAAAAAAAAAACATTTTCAGGTTTTTATGATTTTTTAAATGACCACAAAATTAAAGAGATTCAAATAATGGTTATACAGTAATCAAAATCGGGGTTATACTGTCCAACAACAAAAAAGTATTTTACTGGAACGTGGTACAGGTTGAAAGGACGATTATCGTTTTCTGGCTATACAAATTCTACTCAGATCTTTAACTTACCACCTTTGTTTATAATTTGTGAACAAGAAAGAGCATTACAAAATTTAATTAAAAAGTTTTTTTCTACCTTAAGTGCACATAAACTGAATATTGCATTATTGTAAACAAAGCAAATATTCTGTGCAAAACTTCCTATTGTGGAAGACATTAAAAAAACTAATGTGTAAACATTCTTTTGTCATTTTTAGTAGCAGTTATCCCGTTCTATACTGACTTAATTCAGCACAGACATTTACGCTGAAAACACTTTAATATAACATTTGCAATTATGCTATTTTACAGACAATGAAACGCCGCAGTCGTGTGCTTAGTAGTGATGAAGAAAGAGAAGTGTGGAGAAATTTAACTCCGGAACTCATGTCAGATGAGGAAGAAGGTGACGATGACACCACAATTGTACTGAGCGCACCAGCATGTAGAAGTCAAAGACTCAACAGTCTAATTTGCCAGCTTGATGAAAGATTGAAAGACAAAGGAGTTTTTAAACGTTTCATAAAAAAAACGATTGAGGGGAGAATTGTCAGAGAGAGCCAAACCAGTCACAAAATATTCTGAGGATTTAGTTGTTTGAAATAATGTTTCAACTTGTTTTTGTGCATTTGTAATTTATATTGTTATTTTTTTTAATTAAAGTAAACATTATATTTTCATTGTAATAATTGTATTTATATAATGCTGCATTTGGTCAATATTAGTAGAAATGGGTCATGATACATACACCCTGTCCATCATCATTGCAACATGTCTAAATGGCTATTAGTTTACTCCCGTCGTCATCCTTTATATATATATGCACCTACCACACGCCCCCATAAATGGAAATGTTCATACTGCAAATACTTATTATTATCAGTTAAATTTAATCCACTTTGAAATTGTAATGTAATGGGAGAAATTAAATAAGCTCACAACAAATGAAATGTAAAAGCTGTTTTACACCATATTTATATAAAATGCATAAAAAATACTGGTTTAACCTGTATTAAGAGAAAAAAGTATAGTTTGATTACTGATTTCTCTTGTAATATATTGTAATGAATACTAGTAAATACATGGGATACCATAGTTGTATTCAGGGAAAATACCAGGTAAATACACAGCTACCCAGTAATATATTTATAATGAATACTGGAAAATACAAAATTATCCAGTAATTTATTTGTAACAAATACTGGTAAATACAGGATTATGCTTTACTTTATTTGTAACAAACACTGGTAAATACAGAATTAACCAGTACTTTATTTGTAACAAATACTGGTAAATACAGGATTATGCTTTACTTTATTTGTAACAAATGCTGGTAAATACAGAATTATCTAGTACTTTATTTGTAACAAATACTGGTAAATACAGGATTATCCAGTACTGTATTTGTAACGAATACTCGTAAATACAACAGATGTATTTAGCTTGTATTACAGTGCATATACATGTGAATACATGATGTATTTCTTTGTAAATGTTATGAATACACAGCTGTATTTATATGTATATCCCTGAATTTAATGCAAATACGTGCAAAAATACAGGCTGATAAATGTAGTATTATAGCTGTTTCACGCAGTGTTTTTTCACATAACTAGATATTAGAGACTAACATGTCATGTTCATATTAAGGAGTTTAATTTGTCATTCGTTATTATGCAATCCTGGTTGTTTAACATTTCATTTATTGTATTCAATAAACAACTCCAATAATTCTATATATTATTTTGTCCTTAGATTTGCATCCGCCAAGTGTTTTGAATAATGGGGCAACACCAAGTGTTGGGGCTGATGTTGAATTATTGTGCCAAACCACCGATATCAATAAAAACTACAAATATGGTTGGTATTTTGAAGGTAATGAAGTATTGTCTGATGTGAGTATTATTTGTTATTAAAAACAAACATTACTTGGAATGTATCTTACATGGATTTACTCATTAATTTAAAAATTTAAATTCTGTAGGGTCCGCATCTGAGAATTCTTAATATAACTGTGGACAATGTCGGTAAATATCAATGTGAGGTAAAGGGCGAGTGTGGAATGTCATCATTATCTGACATGATGTACTTAAATATTGATGGCGTCATACGTCAACTCACAACGGGTTTGTATAATATTTGTTTATATGCACAAGTAGTAGACACATTTTGTTTAAACGATTAAACATATATACTTACTATTGTGTGCCAGTCTAGACCTGGTGGGCATATATACATAGTAGAACTAGATACTATGTAATATCTCACTAGTGAAGTTATGTTGTGGTACTTTTGCAAACTTATTGTCCAGACAATAAATGTGTTGTAGTATTGATCTATAGAAACAATGCTTTAAATAACAATCTCTCCTGTCACACAATCAGTGATTGAAAGTTTCAATTTCCTCCTGACAGAGGCTCCAAGTCAGACAGATAGATGGATAGTGATCGTATGTAATAATGTTATACTGGTTATCATGTGTGTAATAGTTGGAATAATATGTTGTGTTGGCTACTACAGGTGATTGTCTTTTTTTATTTTAGAAAGAGTTTTCAAAATTTTAAATAGCCGTAATATTTTAAGTGTTTGACCTGACATAATTATTATTCTGGTTTATAAAAAAATATTGATTTGTTTTTGTTTCTTTGCAGAAATAAAAAGAGCAAGAACGCCAGAACATATAAATACAGAAAAACTCAAAATAACACTGAGAGTGGAACTCTGGAAATGAAATAAATTTATTGTGTTTATGCTAATTTTATGTTGTTATTCCAGTATATATGCACCGTTTGTCAGTCGTATGAATGAGTCTATGGCATTGTCCGCTACAACATAGATTGTAAATATAAATATTTGAACAATTCACATGTAAATAATACATACAACTCTTACTTGTTTTCTAAGTTAAAACCTCGTGGCCAATAGATAAATGGTTCTCAGTTGACTAGACTGATACATTCATCTGACTTGAAAAGCTCCTAATACATAAGTATATTATGTTGTTGTCACGTGATATTATGCTACTATAGGTCAGAAGATTGTTATAAATCAATTAACAAGAAATGATTATATTGTAACGGAAACCTGTGCTTTATTGCATTATTAAACTACGATATTTGTTAACCTAGGTAGACCTTTCGGGTCGCCAGGTAGTGGTGGAATATTCCACTCCATATGTGTATAAGGTGTACGCCTATTACATATCGGATTGAGTGTATAATATCACATGTCCATTTTTGATTGGCATGTACACTGTAATTCTGGTCGAGCAGCATGGCGTTGATGTGATGATTCATGGAGAATATACCTACTCTGTTTTCATCTAAAATCCGTGTGTGAATCGTTTTATTTAGTGGTGAAGTGGTTTAACCGAGACTGTACCAGGACCCCCCTGAGAAGAAACTGCGTGCTGTGTGTCCGCTAAATCACCGTACGACACAGTAGAAAGTGTCGTCGTTTATCGCACCTAAATTACTGGGCCAGGTAACGTTCTTTTTGTAGTGGATCCCCAAATAAATTCCATTACAATATGTTTATAATAAACAATGTTTGTCAGGAAAGCGTCTGTTGTTATAAACATTTGTTATTATTTGTTTTTAACACACATCTGATACATTTTCAATAGTTAGTAATACTGTACCAAACATTACTAAGTTAAACTCTTGTTTATATATTGACACTCCACTATCTAGTTTTGTGTCATGTCAATGTCATCGATCAATTTTATTATTGTTGTAACAATTTAGGCGTATGCTGACCTGACGATATAATATCAGATATTGTGATTACCATGTGCAATTTTCACGCTTATACCACATACTAATATTTAGTGAGAAATTTTCGAATATGTCAATAATATATATATAGAAACGCAGTGTTTAGTCGTGTGGTTGGTGAGTAGACAATATTGCGGACTATGTAGTTACAGTGACACACACGCTAATCAAATACATTGGCACTTAAGGGGCAGTCACACCATGACGTTCTGGCTAGCGTTCTCTGGCGTTTGAGGAAACGTTGGCAGTCGCCCAAGGTCGCTGGGACAGCGCCAGAAGAGCGCCGTGAGAACGCTAGTGAACGTCGGTAATCGTTGCTGATCGTCGGGAATCTGCTGAGAACACTGATCCAAAAAAAGTTTTGAACATGCACAAAAGTTCTCATTTGAGACCAGCGTTCTTCAACGTTTATTTTTAAACGCTGTTAAACGTTAAATAACGTTCTTCGATCGTTTTGCTAACGTTCGACGCGTTCGACAATCGTTAGTCAGTCGTTGCTCTAGCGTTACTTAGTTGTTATCAATCGCTCGCTTTGCAGTGAACAACTCACTAACGACCTGTCAACGACCGCTGAACGTACCCCTAGCGCACTAAAGCGTGCGACTAACGTCAAATTAACAACCTAAACTATTCGTTCGTTATTCACACGTTAGATACCCGCTCAACACGCTCATTTAACGTTTAAAAGTCGTTCGTCGTGCGCCAGTTACACGATAGAACACGTAAATGATTTTCAGGGGTATCTTACTTGGTCGCTCATGACACGCTCCTCGTGCGTTAGGAACACGCTAGTCATACGTTAAGGCACTCGTTAATCAAACGCTGGATGTGTCTACCTTGTTCCAGAACGCTCGGAAATTGGACGATTGGAACGTTCAGAGAACGCTGATCAAAACGTTATGGTGTGACCAATGGAAATGACTAGCGTACAAAACGTTACTGTCAACAATACCGTCTTCACTTTACCGATGACTGTGTCACCTGTAAATCTTATTCGCATTGTCTTTAAAATATATGAACATCGAAATTATCTAAATGACGTATTATCTTGTTCATAAAAGTGTAATCACTATATAGGTCAGACATATAAATCATTTCTATACATATAATTTAATTGTTTTAGTTGGTAGTATTTTGGACGTGCTATTTTTCGTCGAGTGGGATAATCAATAGATTTTTTAATAAAAAAAGTAGTACCATCACTGTGTTTTTATATAGGCACTTGTATAATTTGGCATGTATTATTGAAATGCTGCAAAAGCACGTGGGCCATAGTATTAACTTACACAGTATTTACATTTGTTGTCATGATTCCCACACAAAAGCATTCCCCCTCAATTGTATGTTATGCCAGTTTTCTTATACCTACATTTGTATTGATTTAAAATAATCAAAATATATCTTTGTTTACATATTTCATCAAACTTAATTGTAATAGAATGATTTTAATAGACTTGGCTCAATCATACGAATGTAATAAATTACAATACTCAGTGACGATATTGCACCAAAACGTAATTCGCAGGTGAAAATAAGAACAAGGAAGGCAAACTTCAAGCTAACATCTGTGAAATAAACTAATAATTAGTTGCATGATCTTGCAGTTCCGAGTCTGGCTTAATCAGCAAACATGTAAAATTGTAAATGATAAAAAAAAACATTCAATGAAATATGAGGGCGTGTACCAATCAAGCTTTTATTTCCGATTATTTCTCCAACTAGGTCATCATGTTATTCTGCATTATCACATCTCACTGCTGAGGCGCGTTCTACGCTGTGAGTATGTGGTACATTCGTTAGAAAATTATTGCAGTAATTTCCACAGCACTCTGACATTTTTGTCTGGCGAGTGGTAAAATAACTTGCGTTTGAGAATTTCTCAATTCAATTCAATAATATTATACTCGATAAATTGAGTGATTCACACTGCTTGAAACACTAAAAAGTGTTACCGTTACTAAAAAGAGTATCCGTGGCTGAAAGTAGCAGTTACTGTATATTTTTTCCAGCAAACAATGTATGTATGCTATTGAGTAATGTCCCTTTTTATAACACATAAAATACAATATTGCATACTTCTAATATAAGTATTGTTATTTTGTGGGGGAGTGGGTGTGAGATGTATATGGTAGTGTAATTCCATATGCTGGATATCTGTTTGATGTGATAAAATAAATAAGACATAGTCATTCAAGCAATATCAAGTTGTGTTGTCTGTCCTCGGGCTGTTAGTCATGACAAAAATATTAATGATAATCATATATATATATATTATGGTCATGACCACCATCCCTGATATTATCATCGTGATATTATCATCAAAACATGTGTAATTATTTAACTATCACAATACCGTGTATGTTGTGTTTACAGTTCTTAGGAATTCGACTACATTTATTCCTTCTTTATGGGTGGTATAATGAGCACAGTATCAATAGTTTACAAATTTAATAACAGTAAGATATACAGTTATCCGTGAACACAAGGCCACCTTGAACGCCGCATACTTTGTTTACTGACATCCAACGTCATCAGCAAAATATGTTACTGAGCAATACATGTCTTATCATTATTTAAAGCAAATCCTCTGTAAGATATTAATTTATTTAATATTTCTATTCAATTATATAATTGATCTGTATTTCCTTTGAAAGAACCTGATTGACAAATATCAGTATCGAATTCACCACCGTACATTAAATATCAAAACAGTTCTTTAGTAAAAATTACTATTGTGGGTGGTTACCTTGAGTGAAAGTAAGAGTATTATTATTTCCAATAAGCACTGCCTGATGTTTACAATACAGGGTTATCCACGTTTTGAAAATTAAACAGGGCGCGCCAAAATCTGGAATACTTGGAACAAATAAAGATCCTAGAAAATTAGTATTTATCTGCTCGTGTGTTGTTTGTGTGTTTTGTCATTGTCTTTGACTTTCCCATCATGTTTGCTTTTATTGACAACAATTCAGTCTATTTCAATGCTTCAGTCAATGTTTTTCTTGACTACCTACCAGCTCCTCGCCGGGCGCTATGTGGCTGGTGTGGCATATTTAAGGTGGGTTCAACCCACTAAATCAGCACAGACAGTAGGGCAATTGTCACATTTAGGGCTCCAAGAATATTCTCTGTCTATGTGTATTTATATACGTAGATGCAGTTTCTTTTGCTTGAATAAAATTCACTGGCTTCGTACATACAGGTATACCGGTTTTTAGTTGAAATTTAGCCAATCTTATTATCCAAGTCAGTTGGACATTTGCCACATGTCACAACACTCCAAGTGCCACCTTAGAATAAGTATTCAAATATGATAATGGTCATGGTGAATGGCAAACTTGGTGGTCATAAAGTTATAAAAAGTAAGCACCAGCTTACTCCGCTCACCCCACTATGAATTGAATGGCTGTTTATAATACCACTTTTGATGGTTTCATGTTTCTTATCCATAACAATTTTAATTTTAAACTTCTATATGTGCTTGCATATGTCAATCAGACCACATTGTATTGTAGTGAGCTATTTGGAATTAGTGTAGTATAGTAAAGGTATCTGTTCCAGTACTGGGGTGTGACATCAGAATACACTCTTGAAGACGAATTTCAAACAAACGTATTTAAATGATGTTTATAATGTAACACAAAATGTGTACAAGTAACTCTTTGTTCAATTACTCCTACTGACAGAAGTTGATGAAACAGTGTCATTTTGTCGTGGTATAAATCGAAAATTATTTAATTTCCATTATATATATATATATATATATATATATATATATATATATATATATATATATATATATATATATATATATATATATATATATAAAGCGAGTGTTTAATATACTCAAATATTGTGACCATTTATTCTAATTATAATACTAAACAAGTATGTTGGATTGCATAATAAATAGCCAACGTGTACTACCCCGTTTTCATTTTATTATAACACTTATTTGACACATCCCTTTTACCCA